CACCAATTCGATAGATCATCTCCCTGTTACAAAATTCACAGCAGTGGTGACCTCTGAGAAACTGAGCAACTTCATGTAAATTGACTTAAAAATATATTTCTCATCAGAATTGTGCACTCTGCACCAACTCCAGAGAGACAGAGGTTTGGCTCTGTGAGGCACATCATCTATCAGACTAGTCCCTAAGTCACTGCACTGCAATGAACCCATAATATTCTCTCCACAAGCTGCAAACATGGAAAAACTTTTTTACCTTTTCAGAGTTAAATCTAAAGCAATAATTTTTCTTCCTGGTTGAGTTTATCAATAAGATGGAAATAGATAAAAGCAGAAATTGCCATATAAATAATTGTGGTGCTTATATTGAATTCATGTGCTTAATATCTTCTTGGGATATGGATAAGAGATTCCACTAAAAGGTGAAATCCCACACTGTAGTCAGTCCATAAACATTAAAAAACAATAATAACAACCCTGAGAAGGAAGAATAAAGCAGGGGGTAATCTCAATTCCCAACCTCAAGCTCTACTACAAAGCCACAGTAATTAAGACAATTTGGTACTGGCACAATAACAGACCCACAGACCAGATGAACAGAATAGAGAGTCCAGATATTAACCCAAACATATATGGTCAATTAATATATGATAAAGGAGCCATTAACATAAAATGGGGAAATGACAGCCTCTTCAACCACTGGTGTTGTCAAAACTGGACAGCTACATGTAAGAGAATGAAACTGGATCATTGTCTAACCCCATACACAAAAGTAAATTCAAAATGGATCAAAGACCTGAATGTAAGTCATGAAACCATAAAACTCCTAGAAAAAAACATAGGCAAAAATCTCTTGGACATAAACATGAGGAACTTCAAGAACATATCTCCCTGGGCAAGGGAAACAAAAGCAAAAATGAGCAAGTGGGACTACATCAAGCTGAAAAGCTTCTGTACAGCAAAGGACACCACCAATAGAACAAAAAGGCATCCTACAGTATGGGAGAATATATTCTTAAACAACAGATCTGATAAAGGGTTGATATCAAAGTATATAAAGAGCTCACGCACCTCAACAAACAAAAAGCAAATAATCCAATTAAAAATGGGCAGAGGAGCTGAACAGATGGTTCTCCAAAGAAGAAATTCAGATGGCCAATAGACACATGAAAAGATGCTCCACATTGCAAGTCATCAGAGAAATGCAAATTAAAACCACAGTGAGATATCACCTCACACCAGTAAAGA